TAACTTTGGGGTTTTTTTGTTCTTCTTTCTCTAATTGCTTGAGGTGCAAGGTTAGGTTTTTTATTTGAGATGTTTCCTGTTTCTTAAGGTAGGATTGTATTGCTATAAACTTCCCTCTTAGAACTGCTTTTGCTGCATCCCATAGATTTTGGGTCGTCGTGTCTACATTGTCATTTGTTTCTAGGTATATTTTTATTTCCTCTTTGATTTCTTCAGTGATCACTTCGTTATTAAGTAGTGTATTGTGTAGCCTCCATGTATTTGTATTTTTACAGATCTTTTCCTGTAATTGACATCTAGTCTCATAGCGTTGTGGTCGGAAAAGATACTTGATACAATTTCAATTTTCTTAAATTTACCAAGGCTTGATTTGTGACCCAAGATATGATCTATCCTGGAGAATGTTCCATGAGCACTAGAGAAAAATGTGTATTCTGTTGTTTCTGGATGGAATGTCTTATAAATATCAATTAAGTCCATCTTGTTTAATGTATCATTTAAAGCTTGTGTTTCCTTATTGATTTTCATTTTGGATGATCTGTCCATTGGTGAAACTGGGGTGTTAAAGTCCCCTACTATGAATGTGTTACTGTCGATTTCCCCTTTTATGGCTGTTAGTATTTGCCTTATGTATTGAGGTGCTCCTATGTTGGGTGCATAAATATTTACAATTGTTATATCTTCTTCTTGGATCGATCCCTTGATCATTATGTAGTGTCCTTCTTTGACTCTTCTAATAGTCTTTATTTTAAAGTCTATTTTGTCTGATATGAGAATTGCTACTCAAGCTTTCTTTTGGTTTCCATTTGCATGAAATATCTTTTTCCATCCCCTCACTTTGAGTCTGTATGTGTCTCTAGGTCTGAAGTGGGTCTCTTGTAGACAGCAAATACATGGGTCTTGTTTTTGTATACATTCATTCGATCTGTGTCTTTTGGTCGGAGCATTTAGTCCATTTATATTAAGGTAATTATCGATATGTATGTTCCTATTCCCATCTTAATTGTTTTGGGTTCATTATTGTAGGTCTTTTCCTTCTCTTGTGTTTCTTGCCTAGAGAAGTTCCTTTAGCAGTTGTTGTAGAGCTGGTTTGGTGGTGCTGAACTCTCTCAGGTTTTGCTTGTCTGTAAAGGTTTTAATTTCTCCATCAAATCTGAATGAGATCCTTGCTGGGTAGAGTAATCTTGGTTGCAGGTTTTTCTCCTGCATCACTTTCAATATGTCCTGGCAGTCCCTTCTGGCTTGCAGAGTTTCTGCTGAGAGATCAGCTGTTAACCTTATGGGGATTCCGTTGTGTGTTATTTGTTGTTTTTCCCTTGCTGCTTTTAATATGCTTTCTTTGTATTTAATTTTTGACAGTTTGATTAATACGTGTCTTGGCATATTTCTCCTTGGATTTATCCTGTATGGGACTCTCTGTGCTTCCTGGACTTAACTATTTCCTTTCCCATATTAGGGAAGTTTTCAACTATAATCTCTTCAAATATTTTCTCAGTCCCTTTCTTTTTCTCTTCTTCTTCTGGAAGCCCTATAATTCGAATGTTGGTGCATTCAATGTTGTCCCAGAGGTCTCTGAGACTGTCTTCAGTTCTTTTCTCTTTATTCTACTCTGCAGTAGTTATTTCCACTATTTTATCTTCGAGGTCACTTATCCTTTCTTCTGCCTCAGTTATTCTGCTATTATTGATTCCATCTAGAGTATTTTTAATTTCATTTATTGTGTTGTTCATCGTTGCTTGTTTCATCTTTAGTTCTTCTAGGTCCTTGTTAAATGTTTCTTGCATTTTGTCTATTCTATTTCCAAGATTTTGGATCATCTTTACCATCATTATTCTGAATTCTTTTTCAGGTAGACTGCCTATTTCCTCTTCATTTGTTAGGTCTGGTGGGTTTTTATCTTGCTCCTTCATCTGCAGTGTGTTTTTCTGTCTTCTCATTTTGCTTATCTTACTGTGTTTGGGGTCTCCTTTTTGCAGACTGCAGGTTCGTAGTTCCCGTTGTTTTTGATGTCTGTCTCCAGTGGCTAAGGTTGGTTCATTGGGTTGTGTAGGCTTCCTGGTGGAGGGGACTAGTGCCTGTGTTGTGGTGGATGAGGCTGGATCTTGTCTCTCTAGTGGGCAGGTTCACGTCTGGTGGTGTGTTTTGGGGTGTCTGTGTACTTATTATGATTTTAGGCAGCCTTTCTGCTAATGGGTGGGGTTGTGTTCCTGTCTTGCTAGTTGTTTGGCATAGGTTGTCCAGCACTGTATCTTGCTGGTCGTTGAGTGAAGCTGGGTGCTGGTGTTAAGATGGAGGTCTCTGGGAGATTTTCGCCATTTGATATTATGTGGAGCTGGGAGGTCTCTTGTTGACCAGTGTCCTGAAGTTGGCTCTCCCACCTCAGAGGCAGAGCCCTGACTCCTGGCTGCAGCACCAAGAGCCTTTCATCCACACGGCTCAGAATAAAAGGGAGAAAAAGTAGAGAGAGTTAGTAGAAGTAGGAAGGAAGAAAGAAAGAAAGAAAAAGAAAGAAAAGGAAGAAAGAGAAAGAAAAAGAAAGAAGGAAAGAAAGGAGGGAGGGAGGGAGCAAGGAAGGAAGGAAGGAGGGAAGGAAGGAAAAAAGAGAGAAAGAAAGAAGATACAGTAAAATAAAATAAAGTATAATAGTTATTGAATTAAAAATATTTAGAAAAAAAAAGGGACAGATAGAACCTTAGGACAAGTGGTGGAAGCAAAGCTATACAGACAAAATCTTACACAGAAGCATACACATACACCCTCACAAAAAGAGGTAAAGGGGAAAAAATCATAAATCTTGCTCTCAATGTCCACCTCCTCAATTTGGGATGATTCGTTGTCTAAAGGAGGGAAGGAAGGAAAAAAAGAAAGATGGTAAAGTATAATAAAGTTATTAAAATTAATAAGAAAAAAAATTTTTTAAAAAACAATGGACAGATAGAACCCTAGGACAAATGGTGGAAGCAAAGCTATACAAAATCTCACACAGAAGCATACACATTCACAAAAAGAGGAAAAGGGGAAAAAATCATCTTGCTCTCGAAGCCCACCTCCTCAATTTGGGATGATTCGTTGTCTATTCATGTATTCCACAGATGCAGGTACATCAAGTTGATTATGGAGCTTTAATCCGCTGCTTTTGAGGCTGCTGGGAGAGATTTCCCTTTCTCTTGTTCTCACAGCTCACAGGGCGTCAGCTTTGGAGTTGGCCCTGCCTCTGCGTGTAGGTCGCTGGAGGGCGTCTGTTTTTTGCTCAGACAGGACGGGGTTAAAGGAGCCGTTGATTCCGCGGCTTTGGCACACTCAGGCGGGGGGGGGTAGGGAGGGGCACGGCGTGCGGGGCAGGCCTGCGGCGGCAGAGGCCGGCATGACGTTGCACCAGCCTGCGTCCCGCTGTGCGTTCTCCTGGGGAAGTTGTCCCTGGATCCTGGGAACCTGGCCATGGCGGGCTTCACAGGCTCCCCGGAAGAGGGGTGTGGAGAGTGACCTGTGCTCGCACACAGGCCCCTTGGTGGCAGCAGCAGCAGCCTTAGCATCTCCCGCCTGTCTCTGGGGTCCGTGGTTTTAGCCGCGGCTCGCGCCTGTCTCTGGGATCCGCGCTTTTAGCCGTGGCTCGCGCCCGTCGTTGGGGTCCACGCTTTTAGCCGCGGCTCGCGCCTGTCTCTGGGGTTCGCGCTTTTAGACGTGGCTCGCGCCCGTCTCTGGAGTTCCTTTAAACAGCGCTCTTAAGCCCGTCTCCTCGCGCACCAGGAAACAAAGAGGGCAGAAAAAGTCTCTTGCCTCTTCGGCAGGTGCAGACTTTTACCCGGACTCCCTCCCGGCTAGCCATGGTGCACTAACCCCTTCAGGCTATGTTCAAGCCGCCAACCCCAGTCCTCTCCCTGCGCTCCGACCGAAACCCAAGCCTCAGCTCCCAGCCCCGCCCGCCCCGGCGGGTGGGCAGACAAGCCTCTCAGGCTGGTGAGTGCCGGTCGGCACCGATCCTCTGTGCGGGATCCCCGCTTTGTCCTCCGCACCCCTGTTGCTGTGCTCTCCTCCGCGGCTTCTTAGCTCCCCCCTCCGCCTCCCGCAGTCTCCGCCCGCGAAGGGGCTTCCTAGTGTGTGGAAAGCTTTCCTCCTTCACAGCTCCCTCCCACTGGTGCAGGTGCCGTCCCTATTCTTTTGTCTTTTTTCTTTTGCCCTACCCAGGTACGTGGGGGGTTTCTTGCCTTTTGGGAGGTCTGAGGTCTTCTGCCAGCGTTCAGTAGGTGTTCTGTAGGAGTTGTTCCACGTGTAGATGTATTTCTGGTGTATCTGTGGGGAGGAAGGTGATCTCCGCGTCTTACTCTTCCGCCATCTTCCCAGCCAGTAGCCATTTTGACTCCAGCCACAGCTGCAGAGCAAAACTAAATTATATTTGCAGGGAATTAAATGATCCTTCAGAGATCTTAGTTTAAAACTGCTTAGTTCGTTAAAATATATTTATGGCTTTAAAATTTTTCTTCTTCTGGAATTTACACACATTCTCCCAGAAAAAGTAGCTGATCAAGGAAAACTGTCTCATCCCAAGGAGTGAAAATAAAATTAACAGTAAAAGAAGAGCTAACTAGTTATGATGCCACTTTTTTGTTTTCTTTTGTCTTGCAAAATACTCTGTTAGGTTAGGTCCTTACCAAACAAGGATATATCTAGAGGAGGCTCTGCCTTCTTCCTGTGTTCCCTTTGCCTGTGACTTGCTGGAGTCTGTTTAAAGTGCTTTTTGGGGCAAACAGCTGGTGCCCTCAGCTGGAACGTACCCAGTAGTATTATTGAATACATGTTCTTTGTAGGAACTGGAGCTTAAAATCTTGATAAAGAAATGAAAGTATTCATACTCTGCTCTAATCTATTATCGTGTATAGTGATATTTTATTTTTTAAAAGCTCAAAATGCAGAACATGAAATACTGTCAAGTAATCAATAGAATATTCAACATTTTAAAAGTTTCACTTAAAAAACTTTAAAGAAAGAGCCAGTGAATTCAATTTACATTTTAAACTATTTAATAGAGGTATTTGTTGTACATGTGGTTTTAGTTTGACATAAACAAAAAATTTCTCTCTGGAAACATTTAACCTGAGTTGGAAATGAAATCTGAACTGTAAAGGTTTTAATTCACCAAATAATTTTCCTCAAAATATAAATGATGATTCCCAACTGAGGCGTTCCCCAAAGTTCAGGACTCAGTCCCAGGACAGGAATGAGGGAAAACTCCTTGTAGGTCAAAAGCTGTGCTGAAGTCATAGGATTGCACTTGTGGGCCCTTAATTAGAGTGAGTTTTCGCAAACAGCCCCGGAAGGAGGTCTGGCTGCTCAGGCAGTTTTGCTTTACATCAGCTGTTTAGGAAAGAAGAGAAGATAGTGTTAAATTTTGCTAAATGACATAGGTAGCACAGTAGGAACAAAAATAACTTCTTGTGGTTTCCAGATCAAAATTAGAAGAATATTTTTCTACATAAGTGGCTTCAGTGATAGCAGAATTCATAGAAAACTATTAATAAACAATGTTAAGGTACAGTGACTTAAAAAGTCATAAAAGATATTTTTTATTAACGTTTGTATCAATTACTTGGAACATCTAAAATGCATAATTTGAATCCAAAAATCGATGTGAGAGGATAAGACACGTTTGTCCTCTAAAATGATTACTGACCCCTAAAATGATTCCCAACTTGGGGGTCATCTGAGAAGATGTTTCTCGGTGAAGTCATCCAGCTTCCCGTACATCACATCTGATGTTCTCAGAGTCTTAGTGATTACCTTATATGCGTAGATTATTTTAATTTTTCCAAGAATTCCTAGGAATTTGAAATAGACTTTCTAAAATGGTAAAGGATTTGTCACCCAAGCCATGTATTTTTCTTCATCCCTATTCTATATCCACATGAACTAAGAACTAAGACTTTCCCCAGTGGCAATGCCCCTCAAAAGTGAATGAGCAGAGCAGACGACATACGCACCAGGATAGCCACCAACATAAATGGGATTGTTGGTGTCAGCAGAGGTAGACTGGGTGTGTAGACTTTCAGCTCGAACTGCATTCCCATCGACAATCAGAACCACGCGATGTTTGCTTTTGTTTGCCTGAAGTGTGTGCCATTTTCCATCACAGAGAGTATTGGGAGCACTGGGTTCGTATGTGGCTGTTATCCTACCAGCACCATTGTTAACGTGAAACAAGAGCTAAACAACAGACACAAGCAAATATCTTGGTGAATTTTTCCCTATTTAAGGAACCCAGTCCATTCACATAATGTTCTTGGAGTGGAAAACATCAGAGCATTCTTCTAAAAAGGAGGGCTAACTATGAAAAACAAACAATGGTTTTGAAAAATAGCCTCTTAAGAATTCTGATGCTATCCTATTCCTGAGGTTGCAGAATGGAAAATGGCCACTTCCATGGGAACAAGCCTGAGCCACGATCTTAGCATTGCATCCTCAGATCAGTGCCTCATTTTCAGCACAACAGGAGGGCATGGGTTTACTGAGGGTGTCGGTTCCTAGAAGTTGCTATAGCACCTGTGAAGGAACATTTACTAACTCCCTTCTGACAAACCATAGATGCTCTACTACAGCAAGTGGTAGCACAAAAAATTGGAGACCTGCAGAAGGTGAGAGGGAAGAATTGTGACTATCCTGTTGTAAGGTTCTTATGCTATATGTGAAGCTACTCATTTCAAGGTAGACTGTGACAAATTAAAGAGATATACTGTAAAGACTTAGGCAACCACCAGAAATATTTTTAAAAGAATAAATAATAAGCTAATAATAGAAGTAAAATATACAATACGTCAGAAATTACATTTTTGCAACTGTTACACTTATAACATTTTTCAGATGTCACATAAAAATGTGCAAATGGGGCTTCCCTGGTGGCACAGTGGTTAAGAATCTGCCTGCCAAGGCGGGGGATGCGGATTCGAGCTCTGGTCTGGAAAGCTCCCACATGCCACGGAGTAACTAAGCCCGTGAGATGCAACTACTGAGCCTGTGCTCTAGAGCCTGTGAGCCACAGCTACTGAAGCCCACGTGCCTGGAGCCCGTGCTCCACAACAAGAGAAGCCACCGCAATGAGAAGCCCGCACACGGCAGCAAGGAGTAGCCCCCACTCACCACAACTAGAGAAAGCCTGCACGCAACAAAGACCCAACACAGCCAAAAATAAATAAATAAAATTAAAAATTTTTAAATGTACAAATGGATAAAAAAATTTTCAAAATTCTTTTGAAGTACAGCTAAGAAAAGATGTTGGCTATGCAGAGCGTCAGCAATAGGATGTAAAGGCACTTTTGTTTCAACATGAAGATGACATAAAGGGGGAGAAGAGGTGAAGGACTTGTGACTTTATTTATATCCTCCCCACCCCCATTCTAGGATATCCTAGGGGCCAAAGTCCCAGTGGGGAGTAAGTAGGGAAATGTGAGAAACAAGCTAATAAGTTTGGGAGAATCAAGAGACTTGTTCCTTGCCTTCTAGGAGGCAGTAAGTAGCTCAGGAAGAGTCAAGCATCATAGTCCCACAACAACATGAGTTAACCACAGTGCAGTAAAAGTGCATTAGGGAGAGAGAGGACCCGAGAGACCACCACCTTGACTCCCCATGTCTGATGAGTGGTATAGCAGACCTTCCCAAGTTCTCATCTGGCTCTCTGGGGATAAGGAAGTTATAGAAAACAATTATGTTTTTGTATTAAAAAAATTAGACTGTTGTGCATCCATCTTATGGAATACTCTGCAATAAAAAGAAATGAATTGTCTTCGAGATTCACAACAAACCTGGATGAACTGCCAGGAAATGAGAGAGAGTGTAAAAAGCCAATCTCAAGAGAATTACATGATTTAATTTATGTAACAGTTGTGAAATAACAATCAGAGCGACAGAAAGCAGATCAGTGGTTGCCAGGGGTGGGTGAGGGATGCAGGGAGAGAGTCGGCGTGGATATGAAGGTGGTGGCTTGAGGGAGCCTTGTGGTAATGGTACCACTGTCCTGATTGTGGTGGTTACATGAAGCTACACGTGTGATAAAACTGTGAAGAGCTACACACACTCTCGTAAACACGTATAACTAGCGTAACTGAATAACCTCTGTGGATTGAGCCAATGTCAGTTTCATAGATTTGATGTACTAGTTATGCAGGATGCTAACCCTGGAGAAACCTAGGTGTACAGGACCTCCCTGTACATTACATTGCAGCTTCTATCATCTATAATAATTTCCAAATAAAAAGTTAACCAATATTAGGGAGAGTGGGGCATTAGGTTGGTAACTTACTTTCAGATGGTTTTCAGGGAAAAAAAAGTTTTTTGTATTGCAGTTGCAGTTTTGCTTTACATTTAATTTCAAAAATATAAATTTTGGGGGGGGGGGGGGGGTGTGGGGGCCTCTCACTTTTGTGGCCTCTCCCGTTGCGGGGTACAGGCTCTGGACGCGCAGGCTCAGTGGCCATGGCTCACGAGCCCAGCTGCTCCGCAGCATGTGGGATCTTCCCGGACCGGGTCACGAACCCGTGTCCCTTGCATCGGCACGCGGACTCTCAACCACTGCGCCATCAGGGAAGCCCAAAAAATTATTTTTAAAAAGCTTTTTTAGGATTATCTATTTTTAAATATTAATCAGCCTTTTCTCCATTCCACTAAAGTGAATAATTGGAAATTTGGTTCTAGATATGTCTACTGTTTCTTAACTGCTCTGTCTCTGACACTGGGGTGAGGCGGGGGGACCCCATCCAGATTCAGCACCCACCTTGCCATTTACAATCTCTAATCCGATGGCATCCACTTTGGCACTGCTGATCCCCAGGAGGACACCATTCTCTGAGGAGGTACGAAACTCCAGCGTAATGTTCACATCTGATCGTACTTTGTAGCCTTCTTTGACTGAAAAACCAAGGAAGATCCCCAGTTGGTGGTGAGGCCTGGCCCTGCCCAGGAAGGCCCAGGCTCAGAATGGCCTCAGGCTGGGCTGGCTGGCTGTGCATTTGGGCTCCTGATGAGGGTCAGGAGAGCTGGCTCCACCTCTTTCTCTGAATCCGGTTCCACCCCCACCAGCAAGTCATTTCCAACCCCTGAGCCTCAGCTTGCATCTCTGTAGGATGAAGCTGACTAGAGCTGAGGTAGGCACATCCTCCCAGCTACAGCCATGTGGGTAAAAAAAATCACAAGGGATTTGATCCATGTAACTCCATCATCATTTATCCAGGAAGAATGCACTTTATTTTCCCAATATCTACTTACTGGGTATGTCATTATTTGCTGAGTATATTAGTCGGAGTCCACACTAGGCTTTTTTTTTAATTGAATGAATTTTTCATTCAGGTGATAAAAAAGCTGAGATAGGTTAGGGATATTAGCAATAGCAGGCAGTTGTTACCGTGCCCAGGGCTGAAGGAAAAATGGGAGAAGGTGGTGCTACTAGATCTTGGAAGCACAGAGTGAAGGAAGGAAGCCTGCTGGCTTTCCCCTCCTCCCTCCCAACCTCAGTTTTCCACTAGAGCCTTCCTGGAAGCCAGGGCAAAGGAGCCCAGAAATTAGTTCTCTGTGATAGAAAGAAGAATGGGGCCAGAAAAGCATGGTTCTGAGTGCAAACAGGAAGTTAACCAGCAAATCAAGCATCTAAAATGGGGAGAGAATGTAAGATATATTACAAGGGCTAGTTCTAAGCCTTGAGGACTTTACATTCTAAGGCATTTTAGAGATTTACATTCCTCTACTTATAACTGATTAATATTTCAACAACCTAAATGGGGTTAATTTCTTCATCAAATCTGACTCACATTTGGCTGGCTGGTCCAGACATTTTATGCTACTGATTTTGAATTCAAAGGTCCTAATTAACTTGGACAGGGAAAGTATGCCTTATGTAAATTTGGGGAAAGTACAGATGAAACCAGCACCACATGTTGCACTCCGTCTGGAGTGGCACCACCCCTGGTGGGAGGAAGCCACCTGGATAGCACAAGAGGTGAGAAGGCTTTTATGCTAGAAGCTGAGAAGCCAGAATACGCTAGAACATTTCACGAAACATGATCTTGCTGCAGCTTGTGCAGTGGGTCCTGTCCTATCATATAGTTCTTGGACCCATATCATCTTAGGAGTGCAGGTGCGTCCCAGAGATTTCTTTCGAGATTGTTGATTATACATACCAAGGGCTGCATACCCACTTCCTTCAAAGAAAGTTCCTTCCTGGGCTGCTGCATAGCACCTGTTTACTGCAAACGCAGACACTGGGCTGTCCTCGTCCAGCTGTTTGCTGTTCACTGTCACCTCCCCAATGCAAGCGGGGATGCTGTGGGTGATCTAAGCCAAATGATGCAGGAGTAGATGATGGTGAGGACAGTGAGAAGGGCAAGCACAAATTTTCCCTACACGTCAACAAAACACATTAAAATACTGCCTTTCTGTTTTAAAAATCTCATTGCCACAGTACTTCACATGAATGTCTAACTTCAAGTTACTATAATGTAGTAAAAGGGTTTTATATTATTTTGAGTAAATATTGTGGAAATTAAGAATGTGGGGTTTTCTAATCTGCAAATACAAATTTGCCAGACTTTCCTGCACTGTACTGGGGCTAAGTGGCTGTAGAAAGGGAACTGTTTGTTAACTAACCAGCAGGAAGGCTGGTTGGGCTTCAAGGAGGAGCTCCAACACACAATCTAGGAATGTGGATTGAAAGGCTTGCATCTTGCAGCCAAGCCCTGGGCGCAAACAAGATAATTTAAACATAAACATATTCCTCCACAAAACAAACACAACCACAGTAAAGGCAAAATGGGCCCAGAGAGAAAATGCTGCTTACATTTCCAATGTTCCTGGCCCTGTACTCGGAGGGAAGGCCTCCTAGGTACAACTTTCCTTCCACATCCAACGTGGTAGCATCTCCCGCCGTGGTCACCATGGGCGATTCCTGGCCATCAACTGTCATGAAGCCCTTCCTTTTAAAGTACTCTGTCTTGACCTAGAGCGATGTGAAAACATGCATAATTTCTAAGAAATCTGAGAAATAGCAGTAATAACCTGAATGAAATCCTAAAGGTATGGCTCAGGTTTTCACACAGTTGGTGTTGAGAGGAGGCTGAGCCTGGAGCTGGTTAGAACACAGCATGCTCCAAAAACAGAAATATAGATCAATGGAACAGTATAGAAAGCCCAGAGATAAACCCACGCACCTATGGGCAACTAGTCTATGACAATGGAGGCAAGGATATACAATGGAGAAAAGACAGCTTCTTCAATAAGTCGTGCTGGGAAAGCTGGACAGCTACATGTAAAAGAATGAAATTAGAACACTCCCTAACACCATACACAAAAATAAACTCAAAATGGATTAGAGACCTAAATGTAAGACCAGACACTATAAAACTCTTAGAGGAACACATAGGAAGCACACTCTGACATAAATCACAGCAAGATCTTTTTTGATCCACCTCCTAGAGTAATGGAAATAAAAACAAAAATAAACAAATAGGACCTAATGAAACTTAAAAGCTTTTACAAAAGCAAAGGAAACTACAAACAAGACAAAAAGACAACCCTCAGAATGGGAGAAAATATTTGCAAATGAATCAACAGACAAAGGATTAATCTCCAAAATATATAAACAGCTCATGCAGCTCAGTATTAAAAAAACAACCCAATCCAAAAATGGGCAGAAGACCTAAAAAGACATTTCTCCAAAGAAGACATACAGATGGCCAAGAGGCACATGAAAAT